TTTAGGCTTCCCAGCCTGTAGGGCTTCACCTGCTCAGCTCTGCCACTGTGGGGCGAAAACAGCCATGGACAGTATGTACACAAAGGGACATGGCTGTGTGCCAATAAAACTGTATTTACAACTCAGTGGCATGCAGGCCAGCGTTCGCAGACCCCTGCTGCACCCTATGATGCAAGAGAAGGAGCCTGGGCTGAGGGGCGGCGCTCAAGGCCCCACATTGCCAATGGCTTCCTGTGTTACATTGAGTAAGTCATTACTTGTTTCTGAGCCTCAGTTTTGCCATTTATCAAATAAGCATAATACGATTAGTCAGATTTGTCATGAGCATAGGCTAACAGGTCAGAGCAGGGCCTTTTCATCCCTCTTTCCATCACTTCAAGTGGAGCTGACCCCTCCCCAGGCCATCCCCTAGGTTGCTGCGGGTGGCGGCAGCCCGCCGGGAGGCGGAAGTGTTTCTTTCCAGAGTCAGATACTTGGTCTGTCTTTCCAGCCTTCAGCCCCAAGTGACCCCCTTTCTGTAGCAAGCTGGGCATGGGAGAAAACATGGAGCCTCCTCTTCTCCACCCAGTCATTTGGCAGAAGGCTGCAGTTCCTTGAGAAAGTGACGTGGCCGCTGTGATTGGTGACCAGGTGTTAGAGGCGGCCTTTGAGACTCAGGCTGGGACTAGAGGGAAGAGAGGCAAGCTTCAGGGCTCCCTGGATCGGCCGCTATGGCCCCAGTTCCCTGCGTGCAAGCCAAGTGGCCACGCCCGGCTGTGGCAGTGACTGCAGCACCACCCACTGCATCAGTGGGTCTTTCTTGAGCCACCTTGTCCGCCTGTCTGGTCTGACCACCACGGAGAGCTTGCATCCTCTGGCCTCTTGTCCTGCGCTCTGCAGATTCAGTGAGTGACACTCATGGGGTGCTCATCCCCTCTCTTTCATTCCCTGCCTCCCCCCCCGTCTCCTTCCCGCAGACACATTCGTCCTGGGCAAGACAGGATGCACTTTGACAGTCCTCAGTCCGGATTTTTGCCCCAAGTCTCCAGAAAAGGAGCCCTGGCCAGGAGTCTCCATGCTAGAAGCAGGCTCCCCATCCCCCTCCAGCTCCCTCCCAGGGGGTCCTCCTCCTCAAAACCTATGGAAAAGATACACCTCCTTTCCTCCTGTAGATGTTAAAGGGTGATGTCCCTCCACATCCCGATAAAGCTATGGCAAGACAGGGGCAAGGGGGTCTCACAGCCTGTTCTTGCTATAAAAAGCCCTTTTTCGGAAAAAATAATAAAGAAAGAAATCAGCCAATCTCTCCTCGATGCCATCACCTCTTCTTGGTGATTTTTCAGGGAAGGAGTGGGCGGGTTGCTATGGCAACAGATGCGAGCTCCTCTCGGTAAAGAAGGGACCTTGATATTTTTCTCTCATTCTCTCTCTCAGCTGTGTGTGTATGTGTGTGTGCGTGTGCCGCGCATGCCTGTGCCCACACCAGGAATTTTTTTAGAACTAAAGAAAGTCCTTCTCTTCCCTCAGCTCCCCAAATATGGAGTGATGGAAAACCACTTACTCTTGCAGGCCAGGGAAGATTCAGGATGATTCAAGGGAAAAGGGAGAGGTCATATGGGGTTCCTTCCCTCCATTCTTTTACTAGAGATTGTATGCAACAGAGAGAACTTCACAAATGGCTGGGGGCAAAGGGCTGAAAAGAAGGGAAGACATTGGGCGGAGAGAGGTTAGTTGGGGATAGATGATGCAAAAACCCGACAAGTGACGTCATAGAGGAGGGCGACAGAAGGTGCACTGAGGCTGGGGATGCATGCAGACCCAAACGCCCCATGGGATGCTGGCAGAGAAAGGCCCAGGGCAGACTCAGATGTGGACACAAACACACACATGGGCAGGAAGACACACAGACAGCTGCAGACATATAAAAACATACGGGCACAAGCGTAGAACTCCATACAACACAAGAAGTCATAGTCAATTTTTTTTTATTAAGACAGTCAGAGATATACTGAGATACAGACACACAGCTACCAAGACACATGCACACAGATGCACAGAGACATACAAACACAGTCATGGTCAAATGGACGCAGACACGCACACACACCCTGGCAGTTGGGCTCCCTCCCTTCGATGGCCCAAGCATCCCTGAAGAGCAGTGCACAGCTGAGAATGCTGCAGGCTCACTCAGTGGCTGTGGCTGGGTGACTCCCCCCCTCGTTTCTTCTACATGCTCACCCCAAAGCCCCTCTCTTAATTAATTCCCTTGCCCACTTTCCTATAGTTTATGGGATACCTCCCCCATCTCAGGCTTCCAACTCTTAGCCTGTGCTGCTGCTGCCTGCCGCTTGTGGGGGGCGGGGGAAGAGTGGGGTGACTCAGCCAGGCCAGGATGACTCACACTGCCAGTATTTTTAGCAGCGGCCAGGAGCTCTCTAGTGTGCCAGCCGCCCCCCTCCTCCTGCTTGCTATTTTGGAACCATCACTGGTGATATAAATAGCTCCTCTCCCACGGCCTGGAGCTGCTGCCAAGCTATTTTTGGTGCTGCACTGTTAAAAATAGCTCCACGGAGGTGGGCGGCAAGGGGAGTGGGAGCTGGCCTAGGGAGAGGAGACATTGGGGCACACAGAGCTTCTCAACTTGAGTCGGAGTGGGCGAGCAAGGATGAGCCTTTTCCTACCTGCTCTTTTGTCCCTTCCTAGACCCTTCTCCCCTTCCAGAGTGCCTCCCTTTCCTCCAGTCTATTCTCCTGGAAAAATCCAAGGGCTCTTCCCTTGAACCCAGTTCTCCCCCGACACTTACTTCACTCCCAGAGCTCAACAGTATGGGCCCCTGAAGCCCTCCCCATGCTCGCCCTCAGAGGAAAAGGGAACACCCGACTGCGGCCTCGCCCTGAGGCCTGTCGTGGACTCGAACTCTACCTTCATGGCCAGGCAGAGCATGACCAGTAGGACGGTCCTGGTGGTTTTTTCAGGACCACGGACAGCGATGAGGACCCGTTCTTTGAGCGCGGCTCCGTTCCGCTTGCTCTAAAGATCAGCTGGACCCAACCAACAGACACTGACCATGGAGAGGGGCGCTAAGCAGGTCTCCCAGGCAGGACTAAAGCTCCATCAGTGGGTGAAGGAAACAGGAACACTGCCCTGGCTTTTCCTACAAGAAGGGCTTGTCCAAACAGAAGCCTGAGGGAGTGGTTGGGAGTACATCAGGGGTCAGATAGAGATGAAGGTGGAACTATTTCTCTGTCACCCAGATAAATAGGGCGAGGGACCGTGGCAGATGCCCAGACACACACACCCTTTCCTTCCATCTCAGCTGTGACACTCAACACAAGAGGGTTGATGGGAATGGTTCCATCATCTGTCAAAATGGCACAAGAGGTCAGGGCTAGCCCCCCCTGCTCAGACACCCTTCTCCTCGCCTGGCTCCTCCTCCCAGTTGGCCTCTCTTGCCACCACCGTCTCCCATGAGGATTGAGGGTTTCCGTGACCCCAAATTTCACTTGTTGGTGTCAAAGTTCATCTTCACTCTTCCTATGTGACTTTCTACAATCAGGCCAATCCCCCACCCCCCATTTTTTAAGTGACCTCATTTCCAGCCCCTCGAGTGATTTCACACAGGCTCTCACCCCCCACCCCCAAGTGAGATTTCTGATCAAATACCCCCAGCCCACTTCCTTCTTTTATAGAATACGGAGAGGGGAGAGAAAAGAATCCCTCAGCCCCTGTAGAGAGAAATCGTCTGTGCTGAACAGGGAAAGAAGACAGAGGGAGATAGGACAAAGGCGACAAAGCTGACCAAGGAAGGAGCTTCGAGGGAGCAGAAGGGGGACGTTTGGGGGTGGGGGACATAGAGGGCACACGAAGCTGAGACAGACCACCAAGCAGGCAATGAGATAAAGAAACCAGTTCGGGCCAAGGGAGGGGCGCGTGGAGCGTTGAAGACAGAGCCTGAGAGAGGAGTCCCAGCGCCGGAGATGGGGAGGGGTCCGCAGGGGGTGCAGACCGCCCGACGGGGTCCGTGGCAGGTGCGGGGATCTCGCACGGTCCGGCACGGCCCCCTCGCGTCTGGGCTGCGTCCCCATCCTCCCGGCCGGAGGCGGGGGAGCCCTCCGGAGCGGTGCGGAGGCAGCCAGGCTCCGCCCGCCGCGGCGCCGCGGCAGGCGCCGGAGGATTCCTACCCAAATAAGGAGCTGGGATTCCCCGGCTCCGCCCCCGCCCCCGCCCCCGGCCCGGGCCCGCGGGGAGACACCGGCTGGCAGTCGGGTGGGGGCGGGGGGGCCCGCTCTCTTTGGGGGAGGATGGAGGGGGAGGGATACCTAGATGCAGACTCACACCCTTACCCTGTCCCAGTACCCTGCCTCAGTTTCCCCGGTCAGTGGATGAGGTTAATTAGGAAAACAAGGAATCGCTGCAGACTACAGTGTCGGATTGGTGTTTCTATTTTTGGCAGTGGGAAAAGAGAACCAAGGCCAAACCCAGCTGGCCCCCTTCCTCAGGACCCCTTCCCGCCCCATCCTAGGGCCTTCGACCCCCCCGCCCCCATAACCCCTGCTTAAATCACCAAGGCCTGGCTTTGAAAAGCCGTGGGAGGAGGAGGCTGTTCTTTGAAAGTGACTAAGGGAATCCCAGACGGAGGAATCCCTGGAGAGACACGGCGGCTGTGACCTTTCCCACCGAGGCCACGCAGAGGCCAAGCAAGGGCCTCTTCCCCGCCTGCGAACGGGACCTTCGTCTGGCAAATCAGGAGGGGGATTTGTGGACCACGCTGCCCTTCCCGTCTCCTTATCTCCTTAGAAAACTCGCTGTCGCAGCCGGCCTCGCCCAGCCCTCCACGGCCAGGAGACCGCCTCGGCGCCCCGCCACTCTGCTCAGCTGAACACCCGGGGACGCCTGGGTCCCTGCACCCCCTTCCAGGCCTCGCTCCCGCGGCACCTGCCTCCTGCCCAGCCCTGGCCCCCTCCGCAGCCCGCGGCTCCCCCTCCCTCCGCCCCCCTCCCGCTCTCCTTCTACGTCACGGGATGACGTCGGAAGCCGGGGAGGGAGGAGGAGTGCCCCCCCCCCCCCGCCAGCGGCTCCCGCTGCAGCTCGCTCAGCCCAGCCTCCCGCTTTCCCGCCCCCCTTTCTCCCGAGCGAGCCCCCCCACGCCTGGCAGGAGCTATATAAGGCGGAAGGAGGCAGGCGAAGGGGGCAGCGCAGCTGAGCGGAGCCCAGGAGAGGAGCGGAGCGCGAGACCGAGTGCGAGACGGGGAAGCTCGGAGCAGGAAGCCGCCGCCGTCGGGACGGGAGCGCAGGTGTTCGCAGGCTGAGCGGGAGCTCCGCGGCCGCCGGCCATGTACCGCTCCACCAAGGGCGCCTCCAAGGCGCGCCGCGACCAGATCAACGCCGAGATCCGCAACCTCAAGGAGCTGCTGCCGCTGGCCGAGGCGGACAAGGTCCGGCTGTCCTACCTGCACATTATGAGCCTTGCCTGCATCTACACTCGCAAGGGCGTCTTCTTCGCTGGAGGTGAGCAAACCGGGGCGGCCGGAGACCCGGGCGGCGGACGCCGGGACAGCGGAGACGCGGGAGCCCACTGGGGTTGGCCCGCTGGGGAGAGAAGGCACTTGGGGGACCGAGGGTCTCCTACTTTTCCTCTGAGCTCTGTCCAGACTTCACCTTAGTCCCGGGTGAAGAACAGAGAGCCTGTCCCCAGTGCTAGACTTAGGTGAGGAGAGCCGGGACAGGATGGCCCCAGTTCCCACCGGCGCAGAGGGGCCGCGGGAGCCCGGGCAGGGAAGCCCGGGAAGTTGCAGAGGGAGAGCCGCCAAAGCCCGGGGGAGCGCAGCCTCCGTTCGCGGAGCTGGAAGGGCTTCTGCCGCCGTGGAAGCGCTCTCCGCGGTGCAGGCAGCACCGCCGGGTGCGCGGGGGGCGCTGCCCGCGGTGCTGAACGCAGGGCTCCTTCGGAGCGCTGTCCGTGGTTCTGAAACCCGGGTGCGGAAGCCGCGGCCGGGGCTTAGAAGTCCAGCAACAGGTTTGCCGGGCAAGAGCCGCTGGCAGTAGGTCAACAGGTGTGTGCAGAGGCAGGTCCATGAGGAATTCCTCTAGATTATCGGAAATTCACTCCATGTCTTCCTCGCTTCTGCTTTGCATCCTAGCCTTACTCCTAACCCGCCATGTCTTCTCCCCCTGCAGGCACTCCTCTGGCCGGCCCCACGGGGCTTCTCTCAGCTCAAGAGCTTGAAGACATAGTGGCCGCGCTTCCCGGCTTTCTGCTTGTGTTCACGGCTGAAGGGAAGCTGCTGTATCTGTCCGAGAGTGTGAGCGAGCACCTGGGCCACTCCATGGTGAGTGCTCAGAGGTTTTCCCATCTGGGGCTGGGGCACGGATGGGACACAACGAGCTTTCTATTTCTGGGAATCTGAGAATTATTCAGGAGCAGGGTTTATACCCAGCAAGATGCTATGTGTCAAGGATTGGATATTGAGGCTTTCGCTAATGGTCACCGCTTCTTCCCCTCTCTCCAGGTGGACCTGGTCGCGCAGGGTGACAGTATCTATGACATCATTGACCCAGCTGACCACCTAACTGTGCGCCAGCAGCTGACCCTGCCCTCTGCCCTGGACACCGGTGAGAACTGCTTTGTCCCTCCCTCAATTCGACCTCCCTCCTGCTGCCCTGCTCCTCCCCACCTGCCGTCTCCCTCAGCCTTTCGTCCTCTTACCAGCTTTTCTCTTCACTCACCTAGATCGCCTCTTCCGCTGTCGCTTCAACACCTCCAAGTCCCTTAGGCGCCAGAGTGCAGGCAACAAACTGGTGCTTATTCGAGGCCGATTCCATGCTCACCCACCTGGAGCCTACTGGGCAGGAAACCCCGTGTTCACAGCCTTCTGTGCCCCGCTGGAGCCAAGATCTCGCCTTGGCCCCGGCCCTGGCCCTGCCTCGCTCTTCTTGGCCATGTTCCAGAGCCGTCATGCTAAGGACCTGGCCCTACTGGACATCTCTGAGAGGTAAGCCCCGAGTGTTCAGACCCCCAGAGGAAGACAGACCAGAAATGAGGGGACCCTAGATTCTGGAGCCAGGGGCAAGAAGGATGGGATCTAAGGGGGCATAGGACCCGGGAGGGAATGAGATGCCTGGGTTATGCAGGGAAAACAGAAAGCTGACCTCACCCTTTCCACTTCCCCAGTGTCCTAATCTACCTGGGCTTTGAGCGCAGTGAGCTGCTCTGTAAGTCATGGTACGGACTGCTGCACCCCGAGGACCTGGGCCACGCCTCTTCTCAACACTACCGCCTGTGTGAGTGTCCAGAGAAGCTGGGGACAGGACAGGGAGCTGGGGAAGGGCATGGGGGAGCCAACAAAGAAGGACAGTGGTCAAGACTGATACTGGGGAGGTATCAGAGGCCAACATCTTTGGATGCTCTAGGGTGAACATCAGGGTGAGGAGTCAAGGTGAGGACTGCATCAGTACTGGGGGACTCCACGTGGTGAGGTCAAGGTGGGGAGCTGAGTGGTTCAGGTTAGGGTAGTCAGAAGAGGCTGTCATGGGTCCCCCAACTCAGTAGAGAGGTCAGTGGGGTGATAGTTTAGGCAATGTTGCCTGATGTGTGTCCTAACTCTGTATTCTCTCCCTCCCACCCCCCAGTGGCTGAGAGCGGAGATATTCAGGCAGAGATGGTCGTGAGACTGCAGGCTAAGCCTGGAGGCTGGGCATGGATTTATTGCCTGTTATACTCAGAAGGTCCAGAAGGCCCCATTACTGCCAATAACTACCCAATCAGGTGAGCTGCAAGACAGGAGCCTGGGGGCATGCATGTGAGGTGGCCATGGAGGAGATACAAAGGGGGGACTGCTCTGGGAATGGACAGCAAATCCTTATTGGCTGTGTCTTATCTCCTTTCCAGTAACACGGAGGCCTGGAGTCTCCGCCAGCAGCTGAACTCTGAAGACGCCCGGGCTGCCTATATCCTGGGCACCCCAGCCATGCTGCCCTCATTCCCTGAGAACATCCTCTCCCAGGAGCAGTGCTCCAGCCCTGACCCCCTCTTTGCCCCGGCCTTGGGGGCTCCCGGAAGCACCAGTTTCCCCAGTGCTCCCGAGATGGGTGCTGTCTCGACATCAGAAGAGCTTCCCCGACCTTCCAAAGAGCTGGGCTTCAGTTATCTGACATTTCCGTCTGGCCCGGAGCCTTCCCTTCAAGCTGGCCTGAGCAAGGATCTCGTGTGCACCCCACCCTACACACCCCACCAACCAGGAGGCTGCGCCTTCCTGTTCAGCCTCCACGAGCCCTTCCAAACCCACCTGCCCACTCCGTCCAGCTCTCTCCAAGAACAGCTGACACCAAGCACCATGACCTTCTCTGATCAACTGACGCCCAGCAGTGCCACCTTCCCAGATCCACTGACTAGTCCACTACAAGGCCAGCTGACCGAAACCTCAGCCAGAAGCTATGAAGATCAGTTGACTCCCTGCACCTCCAACTTCCCGGGGCAGCTGCTTCCCAGCACCGCCACCCTCCCAGAGCCTCTGGGCGGTCCTGTGCAGGAGCAGCTGACTCCTCCCAGCACAGCATTCCAAGCACACCTGAACAGCCCCAGCCAAACTTTCCCGGAACAACTGAGTCCCAATCCCACCAAGACTTACTTCGCCCAGGAGGGATGCAGTTTTCTCTATGAGAAGTTGCCTCCGAGTCCTAGCAGCCCTGGTAATGGGGACTGCACGCTCCTGGCCTTAGCCCAGCTCCGGGGCCCCCTCTCTGTGGACGTCCCCCTGGTGCCCGAAGGCCTGCTTACCCCTGAGGCTTCTCCAGTCAAGCAGAGTTTCTTCCACTACTCTGCAAAGGAGCAGAACGAGATCGACCGTCTCATCCAGCAGATCAGCCAGTTGGCTCAGGGCATGGACCGGCCCTTCTCAGCTGAGGCTTGCACAGGGGGGCTGGAGCCACTCGGGGGGCTGGAGCCCCTAGACTCCAACCTGTCCCTGTCAGGGGCTGGCCCTCCTGTGCTCAGCCTTGACCTGAAACCCTGGAAATGCCAGGAGCTGGACTTCCTGGTTGGCCCTGATAACATATTCCTGGAAGAGACGCCCGTGGAAGACATCTTCATGGATCTCTCGACCCCAGACCCCAATGGGGAGTGGAATTCAGAGGATCCTGAGACAGCGGTCCCAGGAGGGGCCTTGTCACCTTGCAACAACCTGTCCCCAGAAGACCACAGCTTCCTGGAGGACCTGGCCACATATGAAACCGCCTTTGAGACAGGTGTCTCAGCATTCCCCTACGATGGGTTTACCGATGAGTTGCATCAACTCCAGAGCCAAGTTCAAGACAGCTTCCATGAAGGTGAGTCCAGCCCAAGTCCCTGTCCTGCCAGTGAGGTGCTGGGCACAATTAGATGAGTAAATTCCCTGCCCTGTTTTTCAATTTTATTAATGGGAAACATCGCCCGCTGCCCCGGGTAGCAGTGAGGATAAGGACCAATAAAAAAACAATATGAAAGTTCCAGACAAGTAGGGCTGGAGGGCAGGGGTTAGACATGTGGGATAAAATGCAAGAGAATCCTTGACTAATGGTTTGTACTCCTTAACTCTGGGAAGCACCTGGATCTGCCGTCATCGCCCCATTTCACAGATGAAGACAATCAAGGTCCCAGAGTTAAAGACACTTGCCTAATGCTACACACAAATTGATGGAAGAGGCATTAGAGCTCTATCTCAGTATTCTTAACTCCTAAAGGGAATACAGAGTAACAGTTTATGGGTGTTTGGAAAAGTAAAGAGAGTGAGGCTCATCCCCTGGCCCCACCGGAGGCTCCCCACTGTGGCTCCATCCTTTCCAAAACTGCGGCCACAGTGCACGCCTGCCATCCAAATTGCTCCCTTTCCTGCTGAATCTGTGACGACCATTCAGTCATCGGGCCAACGTATTTGAAGCCCATACTGTATGTCGCATCCTCAGCCTGTCTTCCCTAATAAACCTACTAATTGTCCTCTTTCTCTCTCTCTCTCTGCAGATGGAAGTGGAGGGGAACCAACGTTTTGAATAAGTCTGTGACTTAACGTCGTCAAGTATGGCATATTGTCATCAAGACGTGGAGCTGCTCTCCACCCCCCCGGGACTGTTGGGGGGATTCTAGGGGCTGGAGGGGGATGTATCTGATTCCCCAGGCCCTGCAGGATTGGGTGAGGGGAGGTGGGAGGGCAAGGGAGGGGAGCTTCTTTTTAAAATTAGAGACTTCCAGCGATCCCAGTTTCCATTTCAATCTGTATTCACTCGTAGTGAGTTTCCTTGAATGGGATTTCAAGCGGAGAACGGGGGAGTCTCACTTCCCCCCGCGCTGCCCCATGGGCCTGGGCCAGTTCTCCACTCCTGGGGGCCAAGCCACCCCTGGGCCCTGGTGGGGGAAAGGCTGCGCCCACTGGGGCCAGCCTGTGCCCTGAGGGGCTCCTGACACCCACGTAGAATTCTCTACACACCAGTAACGGGATTTCAATTCCGATGGACTCTGCCGCCCTGGCGGCCCTTCTTGTGACTTTTGCGCCCCACGCCTGGGGTGGGGGGCGTGAAGAGATGCTACGTTCCTTTCCGATGGAGGAAGGCAGACCTGCCGCTGTCACACATGTGCTTGCACGAGTGCGTGTACCTGGTGCGGGACTCACCCGGCTGCCAGACCACCTGGGCCTGCCCAGGTGGCCACCTCATGGTGCTGCGGTGACTTTGTAGCCAACTTTATAATAAAGTCCAGTTTGCCTTTTTGGTACCCCTGGTGTCATGCTGTGAAAAGGGAAGAGCGGGGGCCTGAGAAGGTTGTGAGGCCCAGGTGGGAGCCTGGGGGTCAGGAAGTCGATCTGGACCTGCCCACAGCCTGGCATTTCTTTATTCGCTCATCGGTCATTCCTTCGTTCACACGGCATCTGAGTGGACGGTGTGTCGTCCACTCTGTGCTGGAAGCTGAGAGTTTGGAGCTGAAACAGGCGCTGCAGCTGGCCTTCAGGATGCTGTGGCATCTCATGCTGAAGGGTGTTGGGGTCCCCGCTGTGACCAGGCCTGAGGGGCTCACACTGGGGGACAGGCAGAAGGGCCAGGGGATGGGCAGCAGATGCAGCGTGGTGCTTTCCTGGTATGGGTTTGAGGTCTCAGGACACGAGCTTCTTCCTTCAGCCTGGTCCTGCAGGGAGACAGCTTCCCTGTGTAGCCAGCTCATTGGAAATGATAACCACCCTACACTGGCCTTCCAGCTGACACTCTTCCGTCCTGTATTCACCGCAATGAAGCCTCTGAACAGGCACATTAGTGCCATTTCACTAATGAAGAAACTGAGGGTCACAGGTAAAAAGCGGCTTCCCCCACAGCTGGCGAGAGGCATGAATGGGACCATACCCATGGCATCTGCGTCCAAGCCCCAGGCTGGCTCCTCTGCCCCCAAGTCGTCCCACCCCAGATGCCCAAGAAGGGCAGGCTGGGGCTGGGGCGGGGGGCCACTCCCCCTCCCGATCTGCGTGCTAGAGCAGATTGCCAACTTCTGAGCAAAATGTAACTTAGTGAGTCAAGAGAAAACGTTTCAAAAAATACTGCTTTCCTCCAAGCTTGAGGGTCCAACAGCCACAGGGCGTGGGGGGAGGGGATGAAAATTAGGAGGCAACAAGACCTGGATTCAAATCCACCAATTATTTGCTGAGTGGGACCTGAGCCACAATTTCTTCTCAGGTAAATGGGGGCTGGAAAAAGTGGCACTTGCCTCCCAAAGATGCTGCTCAACTAATGGGGTCCCCTTATAAGATGAGGAGCATAAAATAGGCTTGAGTTATTAAAATGAGTCAGAAGGCACCCCGGCTGGTATGGCACAGTTGGTTGGAGCATTGTCTCATGAACCACTGAGGAGCCACCAGTTCGATCCCCAGTCAGGGCACATGCCTGTGTTGCAGGTTCGTTTGGTCTCAATCGGGGCGTGTCGAGAGGCAACTGATAGGTGTTGCTCTCCCTCTCTCTCTCTCCTCCTTCCCTCTCTCTAAAATCAATAAGCGTGTCCTCAGGTGAGGGTAAAAAAAATGAATTAGAAGGCAATGGCGACCACAAAGCCTCAGAGGGTGTCTTTCTCGAGGGGAGGAAGGAAACTCTAGGCCCCAGTCTCTCCTGCAGTGGAATACAGGGGCTGGCATCCGAGAGCTGGAAGTGCAACACAAACTCCCTTAAGGTTTTAATGGTCTCCCGGCTCCCAACCCCCCAGCTCTGGGGCCGTGCCCTCCAGAGGGTCCCATGGGAAGGGAGACATTCCAGGGAACTGTCCCCCTCTGCCACCTGGGGTGGAGCCTTGGGTGAAACAGGGAGGTGAAGCCTGTACTCCTGTGCATCTATCCTCCAACTTGGGGCAAAGAGCTGGACTGTGAGCACCAGAAGGACACTGTCTTAGCCCCGCGCCGGCCCCCAGCGCAGGCTGGGCGCACAGCAGCACGGTAGAAATGATCTATCGAGAGGGCCATTTCTGAAGATCAGCCCAAGGATCTGCATCGAAAGTCACCGATCCATACCACAAAAATTGTTTCTAAGTTCCTCAGAGGGCAAAGGGTTGTAACTCTCAGCTTTGAATCTTAAATGACTGTAAGCTCAAGACGCACGTTGGAGTCCCATCTAAAGGCCTCCCTGATGATTATCACAAACAAGGGAAGTCTGGGAAGCTGTAACAGCTGATAGGAACCCAAGGAAAGGGGACAATGAAATACAATGATATTCTGGATGGGGCCCAGGACAAGAAAAACGCTATCAGGTAAAAACTAAATAAATCTGAATAAAGTATGGGCTTCAGTCAATAACAATATACCAATATTGACTCATTAATTTTGACAAATGTGCCATAGAAGTGTAAGAGGTTAGTTACTAGGGGTAATAATAGGTATGAATATTTGGGACCTCTGTACTACTTTATCTGTAGATCTAAATCTATTCTGAAATTAAAAGTTTCTTTAAAGAGTAAAACTAAATGAATTAAAGAAATAAGAAAATGTGAGTAAGAAGCACCTCGCTGGCGATTGGCGGTGGTGGGCGATAGGAGAGATAGGAGAGAGCGTGTGTCTTGCTCAGGAGGCACAGCGACTTCAGAAACAGAACCCGGCAGCCAAGTTCGGTGGAGAGAAAAAATTAGGAGAGCCAATGGCGCCACCTGCCGGACAGAGAAAGTATCTGCTCCCGCTCCTCACGGGCAAGGTCCCTGCGGCTCTGCACGTCACATCTCAGAGGCTGGGGATAAGGACTTGGCCCGCGGCCCTGAGTCGCTGCAGAAGCCAGCGGGGGACTCGCAGCCAGTTCTCCTCCTACGGATACCAGACTCTGCCCTGGGAGCAGAATGGAGGGAAAAGGGCTCAAGGTTTTGGGGCATAAAGATTGAGCTCAAGTGCTGATTCCGCAGCCTCATTTTTTCATGTGATAAATATTTACAATAGCTACATGTCCCCAAAGCTGTTCTGGGTGTTGGGGATGCAGCAGTGAACAGACAGATGAGGTCCCTGAGCTCACAGAGCCTGTATTCCAGCCGTGGGGGACATAAAGTAAATAAACAGTCGGCAAAGGGTGCACAGTATGCCAGTAAGGGAAAGAACCGGTTATCAGAAGGCAGGAGCTGTGTCTACCACAGTTATTCTGTGTCCTCAGTAGTAGGAGCCCTGAGCCCAGGGTATGTGTGTGTTATATGTGAATATGTGTATATATACACATATATAAACATGCACACACATATACACACATTTACAAATATATTCATATATAGGGTCCAGACCTGCTTGAGTGTAGTTGGTAAGGTAATAAATATGGGTGTAATAACTTTTAGTTTTAATTTGAACATTTCACCTAAAATGTTATATGATATGCTTGAGTGTGATATTGTTATTTTACAGAATTATATGCTAATGATTTTGTAATAAAAAACGGTTGTAATTTGTGCTGGACCCTGTATTTATACATATGTATACTCATCTTATTCTTTTTTCCCCTCACATACAGTCATTGATTTTAGAGAGGGGAAGGGAGAGAGAAAAACATCCATCAGCTGCCTCATGTACATGCCCCAAATGGGGATCGAACCTCCAACCTAGGCTTGTGCCCTGACCTGGAATTGAACCCCCCACCTTTCAATGTATGCAATGATGCTCCAACCACTGAGCCACACCGGCCAGAGCTCTCTCTATATTTTTTCAATGCAAACAAAATCCATAACAGTTGAGGGCTTGGTTAAATAATTATCTTCCACCTATAGGCAGAATACTAAACAGTCATCCAAAATTGCTTAAGGAAGGTAGTTAATAATGAACGATGTTCTAAATAATTGCCAAGTTAAATGTAAAACTAAAATACAACAGTATCTAGAGCATGACACCACTTTTTGGTTTTCTTTTTCAAAGCATTATATATGAATACACATACAAAGAAACAGAGTAGAAAAAAATATGCACCAAAATATTGGCAGGGGTCTCATCTGGTGGTGGGATTACCGAGCCTTGAGTTGATTTTCTTGTGTTGTCTTGTTTTCCAAATCTCAGTGCAAAACAAAGTGCCAGCATGTAACAGATGCTTGGTCAACGGGAATCCATTCTGCCCCGACCCCTCCTCTCTTCTCTGCAAGGACCTGAGTGCTGGCTCTTCTGGTTGATGGGAAGGACAAAGGGCCAGGGGCTTCCTCAGACCTGCCCCTGCCTTGGACAGGTACCACTGAAGCACTGTGTCTTCCCACAGGTCGGTAGCCACGAACCCCGCAATCGTTCACGTCCAGTTAACACCTGTTCGAGTCAGGATCAGCTTAGCAGAGGGACCTGAAGTAGCCCCTGGGATCTGGGGTACTCTGTGCAGTAACACTGTGGGGACTGTGACCTTAAGTTCCCACAGGGGTCTAGTTCTGTTGAACTGGCAAGTCCCCAAGAGAGAAGGAATATTTCTGATAGTGGCACGTGCAACATCTGCTGCTTCTGCACACAGGAGCCCCAGCACTCGCAGCCCCCACCTACGCCGCCTCTTTCCTCATCCCAGCGGTGGGGGAACACCCAGGATTTCGAATC